TGCCACATGGACTGAAATTGTCGTTTCTCATCTTCAACACGCCGTTTCTTTAGTTCCGCCATTTTAGGTAGTACTGAATGAAAGTGAAAATCACAGCATGCATGCCACAGATTATAACAGCCGAAGAGTGAAGCTTATTATCGAGGTGGCCGTTATAGGAGAAATGAAGATTGTAAGGTGCTGCCATCTGATGGGCAGCGTTGCCAATGTCAGCGGTGTCCCGCTAAATCTTTTTGTATGCCCTGCAGGGCAGCGGGAAGAAAATAATGTTTAGCATTGGTCACTCTGTCCTGAATTGATGTTGCCAACACTGCTGATGGCATTTCCTTGAATTTTACAAATACGATTTATTCTGTTTACTGTTATTTAAACTTAAAACAGTAAGAAGGGTATACAATTTTTTCCAAATGTTTAATTAATTTTTTTATCCAGTAAGAAGGGCAAGTGCCAACAAAATGAATAAGAGGGCCGCAGGTTGGACCACACCGATCTAGACAATCGGCTCAAAGATGGTGTTAAGGTTGTCAGTCTTATGCACCGGCCCCGCTTTACTCTCCAGGATGATAATTTAATTAATTCCTGGTACTCATTTATGTTAGGAGCTGAGTAAACCCCAGGGCCTAATGCGGCTGGAAGGAGTAGGTCAACTGAAAAAATCAAATGACCTCATCGGGACTTGAACCTGCAACCTTCCGGCTTGTAGCATAGCCCCTCAACCACTATACTACCGCATGCCCCCAAAACAACCCACACAATAGGTAAGCTAATAAATGAAAAACGAGAAATAAACCCCTATTAACTAAGTGGGATCTATAAAATGACATGCCAAAGCTGCCAAAAAGTATACATCGACCAAACTGGTAGAAATCTAACAGCAAGGTATAAAGAACACATAAGAAACATAAGACTAAATAAAGATGAATCAGCATTCACCCAACATATACTAAATCAACAACTCCAGTGTGGACCGATGACAATAATCATGGAAATGATTGAGAAAGCCATAAAAGGAGGCATCATGAATATAAAAGAAGATTTCCATATATATCATTTTAATAAGCTCAGTAAATTGATAGAAGAACAAAGACACACAAAGGAAATTAATAACCAACATAACATGTTTGACCTCATAATACAGCATCAGAACACACTCACAATAATGTCACAAACATAGGACGACAACAAGGTAGGAAGAAAAACAACAAACTTCTTAATATATAGTGTGACATGTTGTACAACGGAGGACCCCTACCTCCCCAGCGGCATGTGGTGTAACGTAGTACTCTCGTTACTATGGTAATAGGCGAGTCATCACCCCGCCACTCTCCCCACGGTGACGTAACGTGCAACGCGCGGTGACGTGCCAAGCGGAGCCGAAGTGAGCAGAGTCCCAGCACACTGGTCACTATGCAACGCGGATAAACAGTGGTTGCGATAGACGATGGTAGCAAGTGATGCCTACCACGTGGTTATTTTCTCGTTGCCCTGCTGAGGGTTTATAAGGGAGCTACACAGCCACCGACAACAGTTCTCAGTTCGCAAGTTACGAGTCACAGAAGTGTGTGCGAGAATCAGTGATAGTTCATGATAACCGAGTGTATTTGGAGTGTGTAACTCAGAGAGATTTGTATAGCTCCCGCGTTATTAATACGCGAAGACTCTTGAAGATAGTGTGACGAGATTTCGTTGTAGGGCTTGTAAAGTGTGAAACCCGCAACTGTGTTATAATTAATTGTAGCTGTGATTTGTAGGTTGTTAAATAAACCAATTAACAGTCCAAACGGCGTCTCAAGTAACGAAACATGTTACACTGGTGTCAGAAGTGCTTTACGAACTTAAACATGTGACAAGTAGAACGAATTATTGTGCGCCTAGTGCTACCCTACGAACGGAAAAATGGAACATGTGTTAGAGCTCTTGAAGTCCATGCAAGAAGACATTTGAACCAACCAGTTAAAAACAGATACCGACCGAGTGCAGTTGCAGGAAATGTTTCGAACTCATCAAGAAGAAATGCTCAAAGAGAGTAAGGCCGAGAAGGACGAAATGGAGGCCAACAGAAAAAAAGACAAAGAAGATTTAATGGCCAAATTAGATGCCTATTAAGAAAAGGCAGAAATCGGCCTCAAGGAATTGTTGGCCAGATTGGAGGATGACAGACAGGCCGACCGAAGAGAACTGAAGGAGATGATGGACGTCCACGAAGCCAGGACAAACGTAAAGCTCCAGGAGCTTACAGAAAGAACTGGAAAAACACAAAGGGAACTGCAGTCAGTGGAAGAAAAAACTCCAGGAAAACCTGATGAAAAACTACAATGAAACCTTTGCAGCGATTGAGGAAACCATACGCGAATTCCAGGCCCGGTTGGAAGTAGTACGGACGAGGACCAAGCAGGGAATCACACCCACGGTCGCCGCAAGTACAGCCCAGCCACCGACATTCAACGGAAATTCAACGTGGAGCGTGTTCCGGCGACAATTCGAGACCGTAGCAGAACACAACCAGTGGTCCGACAAGGAAAAATCGACATACCTAATTACTGCCCTGAAGGGTCGGGCGGCAGAGGTGCTACCCGGCATTCCAACAAATTCAGCTTATGAGGAAACACTTCGGGCACTGGAGGACCGTTTCGGGGACCAACACTTTGCAGCTGCTTGTATATATAGATATATATAAAATAGGTTCTTTAAAATAATACAATACCCATAATATATTTGTAGAACCACCTTCCCAAAAAAGACAGGCAGCACAAGTTTGGCCCCGTCAAGAAAAACGAAAGGACAAGGGACACAACCTATTCTGTTAAAGAATTTTAACTTAAATAACAGTAAGTTTAAAAAAAAATCTTTAATGCATCAAGGACAGTTGCTGTAGTTGTAAGAAATTTGGATTTTGTATAAAGTGTATATTACAAATATTGTATATTTATGTATTTTAAGAATCAAACCACCCAATGTAATACTAGTTTCAAAAAGTATTGATGTCCCCTCTGATGATGGTCTATAGGGACCAAAACATGTTAGGGTGCTAAAAAGTGAAGTAGTAAAAGCTTCAACAGCCACACTGGACGGAATTGTTTTGTCATTTGTAATATTGTTAGTGTGATGGACCAGAATGAAACAAATCAAATTCTGTTAGTAATGTCCTGACTGTATGAGAGGACCATTCACTTCTTGCAACAGATTGTAGCCATGCTCACAGAAAAACTTAGTGTGTAATTAATTGTGCCTTCTATTACATGATCTTCCCCCCCCCCCTTTTCACTACAGCCCCAGTGGGCCTAGGCCTACCTCCATGAACTTCTCCGTTCACTTCGGTTTTTCTAGATCTTACACATTCGGTAGGACTCTTTGGGCGGGTGATCAGCTCATCGCAAGGCCTCTACCTGTACACAAACACAGAAAAACGCACGCACACAAACTAAACATCCATGTCCTGAGTGGGATTCGAACCCATGATCCCGGTTTCCAAGCGAGTGAAGACAGTGCATACCTTAGACCGCTCGGCTACCATGACTGGCCATTACATGATCTTTACTTGCTGTAATTTACTGTATTCTGTCTTCTAGACAGTTACTGTCTCATACACTGTCAGATTTGTGTTTCAGATAAATAAGCTAGAACATAGTGCTTTACATTATAAGGGGCTCTTGTATTTAAAAAATAAGAAAAAAGATTACTGCCATATGAGATGTGACACTGTAACTTTCTACCACACTACAGGATGTCACATTCCAGAAGGCAGTAATCTTTATGTCTGCTGCCATGAGAACCTCACACATCTGTATATTCATTTAATTAAAGCATAAAAGAGATCACACAGTAATAAGGCTTTATAACTTTTAATTTCCATTGTTAATTTTTATTACTTTTTATTACAATTTCATCAGGGATCAAATGGGAGTTTAAAGCTTTAATATTTTTATAGGTTTGTTATTGTGCCTCTCAGGATTGACATAGATTAGTGTGCCACTATGTCTAAATGCAGTCTCCATTATGTCATAGTAGGGACTGGCTTGTTGAAATCAACAGGAAATTAAAAATGATGACAGTGATGATTGTGATGATCACGTGATCATATTTATTACATGTAATTCCAGAAGATGCTATTCCTTACACTAAAAATATGAGTACAACAGAGTGAAATTATTTGGAAGAAAGAATCAAGTTTAAGAATTTGTTAAATTGTGATTAACCTCATGCATATTTTGACAACAATATAATTGCTGATCTGGCACAACTTACAAGCACACTCTTGTTAATTAAGAAAGTATCTTTAATTGATTCTACGCATTGAATTAATGAAGCAGTCTTATGTGCTAAAAGTAATGGTGTCAGCAGCGCCATTGATGAAGTACGAGTACTTAAGATTCTCTGTGGGCAGGTTAAAACCTCATACTGCAAAGATGAAAATAAAATTCCAGTAGAATTTGAAGTAATATATTGTGATGTGTTGGTGACAAGATATGGGGTTGGGACTGATATTTGGATTTATTGAATTCTTTTAACTTGTAGCTACAAGTAACTGTAACAGTTCACTAATTTGCACAATCAAACTATCACTGTAACTAAGCACACATAAGGTATTCTTTGTCTTCACTAGTCATTGCTTGGTAATGGCTGCCAAAAATGAATATTCTTCCCGTGTCTGTGCTCACGTTGTTGCTGGATGGCTAGTGTGCTGTTAATGTGTGGTACTTTCCCTTTCTGTCACTTAAGGGCTAAAATACTGCCAGGGATATTGATGTTTATGTGCATTTTTCATCACTGCCATTCAACATACTCAGCCATTATGCCCTCAGTTTGAGGTTGTTAAAACAAACTTGGTCTCCTGTACAGGTAAGAGACAAAGTATATAATCTCTGAGAAGTGATTTCCAGAATCAAGGACCACCAGGGGGACCCAGGAGAAAGTGACATGGACAGATTGCTTGTTGATAATGTCTCATGTTATAGTTACATCACAGGAGTCATTCAGATTAAATATGTATGGAATTTCAGATCGAGCACGTGATACTAAGACGGACAAGGTGGTGGCACTGAAGAAAGTTCGCATGGAACATGAGAAAGATGGATTACCTGTCAGTGGATTGCGAGAGATCTCTGTCCTCCTCAGTTGTCGTCATGAAAACATTGTTCACCTGAAAGAAGTTGTAGTTGGAAGAAGTCTTGAGAGGTAGGTATGTTTTAAACCACTACTTGAATTTTCATGTTAATCTCTGTTAACTGTTGATCACTTGTTACTATTGCTTTAGATGGATAGCACTTTCACTAATATTACCACCAACAGAAATCAAACCTGTCATATGGATCCTTAGTTTCTGACCATACTTTGACTGAGTGGTAAATGTGAATGTTTCTTTAATGACACTATCAGATGTGTGCTTCATGTAGGCAGTTGAATCAAGAAGGCTTAAATGAGCCAATTTGGAAGGAAACCTTAGATAAAGTGACCATTTCAATATAAATAGGAGGATAATATTGAAGTAGATCCTTGGAAAGTAGTTTGTGGGGAATGAAATAGATTGAATTAGCATGGTTAAGATTCAGTTTAGGCTTTTGTAATGATGATGATTAGGTGTTGGGACCCAGAACATCAGGGAATCATGTGAACTATTGAATTCATGTTGACTGCTAGGAGAATATCAGGAATTTTCTTGTGAAACATTCTCTACATTACAAATGAACAGTGATGTGTATTTTATGTTGCAGTATTTTCTTGGCAATGGAGTACTGTGAACAGGATTTAGCCAGCCTTCTTGATAATATGCAAGCTCCGTTCTCAGAATCACAGGTGAAATGTATTATGCTGCAGGTGCTTCGTGGTCTGCGCTACCTCCATCGCAACTTCATTGTTCATCGAGACTTGAAAGTGTCAAACTTACTAATGACAGACAAGGGATGTGTCAAAATAGGTAGAGTAGAAACAGTTAGTTCTAGTGCAGCCGTGCCTGGTTTACTGCAACACAAACAACAAATTGACCATTCTGGGGCTCTTGCCACATGTCTACTCACCTTCCCCATGTTGAGGTAGATCAGTTTGTTGTCAGGTTCTACTGGCCCTCAAGTTGCCTTGCATCATTTCTGTAATCCATGTATGCCAGTCTGTAGTCATACCTTTTGTCACCTACACTAGTCCCCTTTGTATCTTGAAAACCAACCACATAACCCCCATATTCACCATGTAATTCACATTTTTGGGTTTTGTCACTTCTGTTTGTGTTTATTACAGTTCCATCTCTTCTTCTAGGGTTATACATTTTATATAATAAAAAGGTCTTGTGCATTTACAAAACCCCAGTCTCACTAGCAGGGGTGTTTCCTAACTGTGTGGTGCTGTTCTTCATTTTCACTATGACATTAAACTTGTGTGTCCCTGTGGAGAGCTCAAAATTGAAGGTTGTGTGGACTCCTGGACTCCTCGACTCATCTCACTATACCTGTGTGGAGCCAGACCATGGTCAAGTACATCAGTGTAGGGCCCAGATGATGTGTTCCCACAGACAAGAGCTGCCATGCAACCAGTTACAAGTTTCCTGAAGTCATCTAGACATATATATATATATATGTGTGCATGCCATACAGTGATGGGCCAGAGCTGGCAGTTGCCATTACAACCTGGCAGTGGCATAGGACTTGCTGTTAGGTTTCTAATTAGTGATATGACAAAGAGTGACTCCTCTGAAATATTTTGCTAGATCATGTCACCATGGAGGACCCAACATCAGGACAGAGTGGAAGATTTAGGCATCTTTTTCTCTTGTATCCCCCAGTGACTGGCTGACGCTGACAGCTGTTGAGTTAGGACATTTTCATCATGGCTCCTGTGCACCCTACACAAACACCACAATATAATTCAGAGCTTATCACCATTTCCATTGTAGATCTGTCACTAAAAATGCCAGCACGGTCTTACAATATTGATACTAAAAGTACTGACAAGGAAATGCTTGACTTGTCCCTTTATATGTATAGGATTCCATTGCTGGAAAGGTCAAGAATATTTTATCATTCAAAAGAAGAAAACAGAACGCCTATGGTTGAGACCTGTAATGAAAAACAAACAAATACCCTCCTTAAAGTGAACCTCCTCAGATTCTACCCTTTTCATGTTGGAAGACATATTTTAGAACTCTTAATGGGGAGTTAATATCACTAACTCCATGGTTATCAGATGAAGATATGCAGTATGTGTTGGCTGACTAGCCCATCTCTAAAGCTTACATGCTAATTGGAATAGGGGTGGAATACCATTCCTAGTCTGAACTGCCCTTTTGACGTTCAGAGTTCTGACATTGCCTACACCATCTGTGCATGATTTGAAATGATACCTGTTCAGTTGTACATAATATGTTTTGTGTATGACTTATTCCACATCCTATGGTCATTTTCTACTAACTTTGAATCCATGGACTGTAATACACATGGTGCAATCAAAAAGTTCCCAAAATTTAAATTTTGTGCGTGAATGGTTATGAGTACATCGAAATACTGCTCGGTATCTTCCCACACACCCTTCTTGAATCAGTGTGGAAAGCGGCATTGAGTTGAGTTGTTGGGTTTATTGTTGGTGAACGTATTTCCATTGTTGTGTTTCCATGAGTTTGCAGTTTTGCAATGGCTGACCTGAGAGAGCAGCGTGTCTGTATAAAGTTTTGTTTTAAACTTGGGAGAACCACTGCAGAAATGCACCAAATGTTGAAGCAAGCTTTTGGTGACAACAGTTTAGGCCAGACACAAACTTACAACTGGTATAAGCATTTCAAAAATGGCCGAACATCGACTGATGGTGACGATCGTTCGGGATGACCGTCAATGGGCACCACACCAGGATATGTGGGATCTGATTCTGCAAGATCGTAGACTGACCATCCAAGACTTCTGTAACGACTTGGGACTAAGTTATGGCACATGTCAAGGAATTTTAACAGAGGAAATGAACATGAGGATTCTGGCGAAGTTTGTGCCATGACTGCTGCAAAATGAACAGAAGCGGCATCGCTTTGAAGTCTACAGGGAATTTCAACCACAGCTTCAAGAGGATCCAAACTTTCTTTCGAAGGTTCTCACTGGTGACGAAAGTTGGGTTTATGGCTATGACCCTGAAAGTAAGCAGCACTCGTCGCAATGGAAGAGCCCTTCTTCACCTCAGCCACAAAAAAGCTCGACAAGTCAAGAGCAACATTAAGTCCATGTTAATCTGTTTTTTTGATATTGACGGGATTGTTCATAAGGAGTTCGTCCCTCCTGGTCAGACAATCAATGAAGAGTTCTATCGCGATGTTGTAAGGCGTTTGAGGGGGACATGAGGAGAAAACGTCCAGGGAAGTGGCGCACAAACGACTGGGTACTCCATCATGACAACCCACGACCGCATACGGCTTACATTATGCAGGAATTTTTGGCTGAAAACAAGATTGCAGTTGTTCCCCACCCACCATACTCGCCAGACTTAGCTCGCGACTGCTTTCTCTTCCCCAAGATGAAAATCAAGTTGAAGGGGCGAAGATTTGATACAGTTGAGGGAATTCAAGTGGAAACGCAGACGGTACTAAACACCCTAACAAAGAAAGACTTCCAGGACGCGTTTCAAAAGTGGCAGTGTATACGCTCCCAAGGGGACTACTTTGAAGGTAATGGTGCAGAATAAGATCCAGGTAAGACATAATAGTTTTCATTAATATATTTCGGGAACTTTTGGATAGCACCACGTATGTGTGTATGTATGTATATGTATGCTTGACTATATATACTAAGCCCAGTGCAGTGCAAGTCGCACTCAACAGCAGTGAACATCAAGCCTGGTTATGATGTTCACACCCACCTCACTGCATAAACTGCACTTGGTTCCATTCATGTAATGACAAGAGCTGTCCTATTTATCTCACTGAGAATCACGTTCAGATAGAAGGGCTTTCTTTTCTAGGCACATGGAAAAGTTCACAGAAAATTGCCCCAAAACCAGCATTGTTACATATAGGGATTTGAAGTCATGACCCAAACTGCAGCTACCCTGACCAGGACATACAAACTGATAATCTGTGCCTGGTATAAAGCTAAGTCAATACCAGTGCACAGTGTGGACACTGAAACAGATTTTGGACCATTCCATAACTCCTCATAAACCTCTTCAAGGAAAAAGCAGAACTATTGTCTGTTTTAAGTGTCCTTCTGACAAAACTGACCAGTGGATCATTCCTGCACCTTCAAGGGCAAACACAGATTAAAACAGACAGTTTTCTGTTAAAATGTTGTAGTTTGTTTCTTGTCAGCAGTTTTTGTTATGGCCTTCCTTTGTGGACCTCCTATGTTGAAAAGATCACATTTTTCATATGCAGTTTCCCACATCATATGATCTAAATCAGTATCATGATCCAGCCACGACGGGGTCTTCCTCAAAATTCACTCATCTCTCCCATGCCCTAACAGTGCTGGGTCTTAATAAAAGCAATGCAGAAAAGTGTTCCCTCAGATTGGACACAGGACCATTAATTGCATAGTCCTTGGTGCTGAAGATAATTAAAATTGTCATAAGAATAGACATAAAGAGACATGACATACTTCATGTATGACTTCATACAGTGAAGTTCTGGGAACCAAAATTTTATATGATATCTTCCTAAAATAGTTAACTGCATCCATTGTTGTTAAAAGTAATCAGGATATAAAAATATTCAGCAACACTGTGTTATTGTTCACATATGACAGCAAGATTGTCTCTAAGTAGTGTGAAGAGGATATCATATACTTGTGTATGTAGGAAGAAAGAGGGTGAAAGAAATATGTGTGCATGCATTATAACTGATTTTCCCTTCCCTCAAAAATTATTTCATATTCATTGTCCTAAATTTTCAGCAAGTAATGAGCCCAACCACTTTTAATAGGCCAGGGCAGAGAAAGGATAACTCTCAAATCCATCAACATTTTAACCTGTGTGTAACATTTCTTTACACTTTTTTGGCACATACGCGGTGTGTTCAAAAAGTATTGAATCTTTTTTTCCCACATAAACCAATGAAGCGCAGGAGGCTCCCTTCAGTGGAGATGTGGAGGGGACATTCATGTTCAGTCGTGAATTTTTTCCTGCCCGCAGAAAGCGTCAATCACTGGCAGTCGGCCTATGAGCGAGGACGTGTAGTGAGCGCTCGTCGGATTCCAGTAAGGTGTAAGATTCAACAGGCTTTCGGGGACAATGCCACAAGCAACTCATGGATAAAGGAGTGGTACAACGGTTCAAAGATGGCCGCACATCAGTGAACAGTGAACCATGTTCAGGCAGACCCCCAACAAGCCGAAATGAGAATGTCATTGAGCAAGTGCAGACTTTGTTCATGGAAGACCATCGTATCACAGTCTGAGAACTTGTGAACAGATAGGGGTAAGCATTGGATCGGTACATTCAATTTTGACTGAGGATTTGGGCATGAGGATAGTGTCCGCAAAATTCATACCGAAACTACTAACAATGGAGCAGAAGCAACGCCATCTGGAAATCGCACAGGACCTGCTGGACAATGCAAACAGTAACCCCAACTTTCTGAACACTGTGATCACAGGCGATGAGTCATGGGTTTATGGGTACAACCCAGAAATCAAGATGCAGTCGTCACAGTGGAAACATCCGACATCCCTGAGGCCAAAAAAAGCACGGCAGGTCCGCAGCAATGTCAAAGTCATGTTGGCCGTTTTCTTCGACTCCCATTGGGTTGTGCATCATGAGTACGCACCACAAGGCCAAACCATCACAAAGGAATACTACCAAGAGGTCCTTCATGATGCTGTGCAGCGCAAATGACCGGATCTGTGGGCAGCAAAAACTTGGCAGCTCCATCATGATAACGCATCCACCCATTCTGCGCATCTGATTCAGACTTTCATCACCAAACACAACATCCCTGTGGTTCGTCAGGCTCCCTACTCCGACATGGCTCCGTGTGACTTTGGGCTATTTCCCAAGCTGAAAATGCCGCTGAAAGGAATCCGATTTGAGTCAAGAGAAGAAATCATGCAGAATGTGACGGCCCGGCTGATCACCATTCCAAAAGACGCATCCCAGAAGTGTTTCCAACAATGGCGGAAGCGCTGGGAGAAGTGTGTGCATTACCAAGGAGACTACTTTGAAGGGGATTAGTGTTTTGTACATACAAATCAATAAATGTATTTCTGCCGACCAAAGGTTCGATACTTTTAAACACACCACGTATATTCCTCCTAAGTTGGTTAATTTTGTCTGGAACATCAGATCCAACCCATTGGCCATAGTTTGAAAGTTGCTACTCAGACAACTAAAATAATGTAGACACATATTGAAAGAATGAAAAAATGCATGCAGTGTACATACAAAATTCCTAAGTTTTGTACATTTGCTTTATAGCTGATTTTGGTTTGGCACGCTGGTTTGGTCTCCCTTTGCGTCCGATGACACCTCGGGTAGTAACTCTATGGTACAGGGCTCCTGAACTGCTACTGCAGGCACGTACTCAGACTACCTCTGTTGACATGTGGGCGGCTGGTTGTATACTGGGAGAGCTCTTGGGACATCGTCCACTGTTGCCAGGACGCTCTGAACTTGGCCAGTTGGAACTGATTGTGGATCTTTTAGGGACTCCTTCTGATGCAATTTGGCCAGAATTTTCATCATTACCAGCTCTTCAGGTAACAGTGTAACAGTGAAACTGTGAAATCTTTGCTGTTATACTAATACTGGTACAACTTTTTGGTGTAGAACTTTTGTTGAGCAGTTGATATTTATTGTTGTCACCAAGAAGTCTAACAGATGGTTACCAAGATTGCAGAAGAACATATTGCCTATCCCAGAAAACCACGACATGATCACTTCTGTGAAAATCTCAAATATCTATTACCCACCTCTTCATCAAATTTTGTTTCATGATAAAACCTACAGGTTCTTCACCACTGCTGTACAATGCATGACACTGGACTCTTCAATTCATTTCATACACCCTAAACTTCGTTCCCTAAGATCCAGTTTAATATGCTGCACTAAATTAAGCATAACAGGTACTTACTATCTGGTGTATCTAATTTTGTAGATAATAACCATAAAACTGAAACCGTTTTGGCCATATATTACTGTCTTCAGGGGCATGCAATTACATGAATTGTTTGAAATAGATCTATGTATAAAATACTTGAAATGTTAAAAATTACCGTAATGTAAGTCAGCAAATTGTGAACGTAAATTCTGCATGTTGTGTTATGGAGGACAGTGCAGTGTGGAACTAGGATTCATCATATCTGACGTAGCACTTGCTTGATCCTATCTTGCAGCATTTTCTTAAGTAGTATATGTGTTTATGTTGTTGAACTGACCTAGTCTATTGCACAGTCAGTGAAACTTGAGCACGCACGCATGCACACACACACACACACACCATTATGCCACAAAACAGGATTTGACTAACCCTGTTTTCACATCACATGGTCTCATATAATATGATATACCTAATTTTCACTCACACTTCAGTATCTAGTTTTTGGCATCATACGAGGGGGGACCCAAAAATAACAGGAACCGACCTGTTGCGCACGCATGCTTTGTAGTTACGAGTTGTGCTGCTAGGTGGTGTTAGCTGGGGGTCTCCCGCGACTGTTAGTGAGCTGGCGTCAGTCTGAGTTAAGTGGTTTGTCTGTGGTGCTCTGTTGTGTGCGTTCCTGTTTCAACCCTTTGGCGATTAGTGAGATGGCCGACCAGAAGGAACAAAGAGTGCGCGTGAAATTCTGGATCGTTCTGCACTTCACTCTTCAAGTCATGGCAAACATTCACGCGTTTTCTCTTTGGTCATCTCCGAGCAAGCGAGGAACAAATTTTGCAGACACCCGTCTCATGTGCAAACCTTCGGTTAAAATTCGCTGGACCGTGCTCCATGAGATGTTCGTTTCCTCAGAAAGTTGGTCAATGGTCTTTCGACGATCTTCATCAAGCAAAATTTCATGCACACTCTTTGTTCCTTCTGGTCGGCCATCTCACTAATCGCCAAAGGGTTGAAACAGGAACGCACACAACAGAGCACCACAGACAAACCACTTAACTCAGACTGACGCCAGCTCACTAACAGTCGTGGGAGACCCCCAGCTAACACGACCTAGCAGCACAACTCGTAACTACAAAGCATGCGCGCGCAACAGGTCGGTTCCGGTTATTTTTGGGTCCCCCTTCGTATGTATTTTATGTATAGATTTAAATCAGTCATGTAAATTTTAATCAGTTCATATCAAATTTTCCTTTAATAATTGGATGCTTCTGAAGATGACCATATATGGCCAAAACATGACAAGCTTTATTGTCATTTATTAGTTTAAAAGCTATATGGTATTTTTATGCTTAATTTAATGTAAACAGTGCATCAGAATTAATGACCTCTGTTAAATGAATATGCTGCCAGTTACATTGCGTTCTTACAAATGACCTTGCTTATAAAGGTTTACACGGAAGTTTTTGAGAATTCTCATCTATCCCTTGCATGCTCCATTTCCATCCCAAGAATAAGGGCAAAGTACTATTACATGTGAACTTATGAATGTGATGTGACTGAATTGTGATATAAAGCTTGATGTGGTTTCCGTTGTTTTGTTAGAGCTTCACATTGAAACAGCAGCCATACAACAATTTAAAGCAGAGATTCCCCTGGTTATCAGCTGCAGGACTACGACTTCTGAATTTTCTCTTCATGTATGATCCCAAGAAAAGAGCTACTGCTGAAGAATGTCTCCAGAGTTCATACTTCAAGGAAGCACCACTACGTGAGTCCTATCTACTTTTCAGCCTAAACTTCTCCTTTGTAGCATATTTATGAGGAAAGGTAGGATTATAGTGTAGCATGTAGAGCTGTTGCTGGGTAGTGACCTCAGTGCAGGCAATGAAACAACTAAGCAGGTAGACGCAGCCATGCTGGGTGACGCCCTCACAGATAGGCATATTCCCATAGAGATGATTGAGGCAACAATGGAAGAACTGTGTTTGTTGTGTGGTCCATGCTGAGGGGTTAGAAGCGAAGCAAGGTTTAGAGCGTACTCAGGTTGTTAGTCTGTGAAGAGAAGACTAGGAGGTTGGTGTGAGGTAGCCGCCAGCCTGGGAGTTAGTCACAGAACTGCAGTTCAATCTTCGGGAACCCAGACTGAGGGGAACGTCTCCTGTTGGAAGCTGTTACCAGGCAACGGCTAATGGAGACTGTAATAGACTGAGGACACTAGTCGGTGACAATGATTTGTGAAGTGTAGTCATGAGTTGTTTGTATAAGTGGTCAATAAAAATTCAGTCACCAATCCAAACCCCCTCTGTAGTCATTCATAACACATGATAACACATCTAATTTATGTGATACTGTTTCACCTTATGTTTTCTTCTTCCCAGTGACTCAGGCCTCAGTCCCTGACTTCAAATAATTATTGGAATGTAATTAATATACAAGGTGTAACTGAAAGGTGCAGACAAACTTTTGGCATCTTGAATGGATGTGGTCAGTGGCGTGCAGTACTATTTTTGGTAAGGGAAGCAATGGTATCTAATAAACAAACTGATAGCAATCAACTCACCAAAATTTATTTGAAGACCAAATCTATTCTCCGGTCCCTAGCAGCAAAATTATTGATGACATGGTTGTAGAAGCCTTCACTGTTGCGAATGTTTTCCAATAATTTCTTCTCAATGGACAACAGAGACAACCTGGACATTCTACCTTCCCCTTGAGAGTTCCTCGCGTAAGTTCTAATTCTGTTCAGTGCAGAAAACGAACATTCAACCGAAGCACTACTTGCAGGAATTGTCATGATCAATTCACATAACTTTGTCAGCTGGTGTAGTGCACTGTCGATGTTTGTAGCTTTTAGATGTAGCAAAAGCTGACTTGCATTCTGGATGTTTAAATCTTCATTAGAATAAAATACACTCAGTTCACTTCTTAAACGAGGAAAATTGAAGTGCTGGCCATACGCTGTATTCAGTGACAAAAAAGGAATTTCAGGAAATGTCTTTTCATACTCCTTACTGCAACTAGGATTTATTAATTCAAGAAACTTTAGCTTTTCTAAGTTCTGAAACCTTAATTCAGTTTGATTCAAAACATTATCAAAAATTTCATAATAAAGTTTTCTGAAGCATTTTTTTACATCTCCTACATTGTCAAGACGCAATCATTTGCTCTGTGGTTCATCAATTTCTTCATTTGAGGACGTTTCAGAGAATATGTTCTCAAAGTTTTCTCTTTTCTTGGCTGTATCTTCTTTTCCTTCAGTCACTTTATGGATACAAAAAGATATGTCATTTGATTTTGTTTGTAGTATGTCAAAAAGAACGGTGGTTACTGAAAACAAATCTTTGAAAACAGCAAGTAGAAAATTAAAGTTGAAATCTTGCAGCACAGAAAGAAATCCTCAAGTGGCAAAGTACGTTTCGTTATCCCAGTTATCTGGATTTTCAATTGTATTTTGGAACATGCTGTTCAATTCAAATTTGTACCCGTATACACTCTCTACTAGACGACTGTTATAGTTCCACCTGGTTGGTGCGACTTTCGGAAACCTCTTTTTCACTTCTTGATCCAAACATTGCGTCCTTTCAGAAGATGCAGAGAAAAAGGAAGAAAAGCTGTTCAATGTTTTGAAAAATACATTGCACTCTTTAACACTTTGCAGACCGGCGATTTAAATATTTAAATCCTCCTGGGGACTGGCATTTTTATACCTACTACCCTAACTTGTGCACTGTTCACTTTAAAAATTAATATAAAATCTCCGAATTAATTTTATGAACTATAATTTTTGGAGAACACTTACCAATGCTCCTAGAAGTGCTTGAAAGTGTGATATTTCTGGAAACACTCCCCTTACACACTTTCAAATGTAGACAGTCATAGTCCTTTTTTTTTGTGAACTGCGCAAACACGGCATTGCCTAGAAGGATGCTTCCCCTTGGAATGTTCACTCTTCACAATTTTCACGAGGGTATGTTTCTGCATATCACCCGAGAGTCGCTCAGGGGTGTCTACATGAGGCCTGTGTGGGGTGGGAGTTCATGGGCTAGGTCACACTAAGTATGTCTGACTCTGGTTCTGCCGCCACCATCTGGTCTGTAGCCCAAGCCTTTGCCACATTCATCAGAAATGCTTTGTATTTCAATTAGAATCAGTGTTTAGGTTTTTGTAAACCAAAAATGAATTGAAAACGGCACAATTTATAAGCCACAAGGCAACTTTCACTTTTATTATCTGTGGCCACAATTCTTTGAAGACTCCTGTCACTTCCACTGTCTGAGTCACTAATCACTACTCCTCCACAAGGCACGTCAGATAGCTCCATAAACTAGTCCGAGAGATCACTTGCCTTCAACCGCATTTGTCCTTGAAACATATTCCCTTCTACTAATTTCTGCCTGGTACATAAACAGTTGGACGCAAAGTTTATTTTCTTTTGGAGTAGGGACCCTAGCCAGCCAGCTCAAGTTACTGAATACCTAGCAAACATTCCGAAGATTTATTACGCAGTATTCATTGCAGTTGCGTGGCGCCAGAGCAAGGTATAGTGTGTTTCAACATAACGTGTCCTAAAGTCATAATAATATGACACCAGTCCGCAACGTTTAAAAGCGAAAAACCTTTTAAGGGGTGCGCGGTCTGCAAAATGTTAATACTAGAGACAGACAACTTATTTATTTGACCGTCACAACACAACAATAAAAGAACTTCAAGGACAGTGCCCAGATATAGTTCTGCTACATGTTTCGGCCACTAGTGGCCATCATCAGGCAAACACACTTCAACAAACGTACACCACTGAACTGCAGTACGCAAAATTTGATACAGTGTCATAAATCATTTAAGATAATTTGCAATAAGAATACAATAAGTAGGTTATTTAAAACCAATAAGACATAAAAAAAAAGCAAAATTTTAATTTGATTGATGTTTTTTTAACATCAAATCAGTCATTGGTTCCACTTTACATACGTATCCGTCGACAAAGTAAATTCAATATTTCATTATAAAATTGTATAGGAGGCCCAATAAGTAATGGAATAGGTGGAGCCTCATCATATGGAGAATTGTACGTAATGTATGGGAGGTAAACAACGAACTAGTAACTAAATAACTAACAACTAACTAAGTTGTATATATTATAACAAAGCAGGATGCATGAAATGAAAATTAAAAAACTAGAGACAGACACTGAAATTACAAGATTAAGCTTATGTGCCATACAATGTATGAACATGGCATTTGGAAACATGTCTCTCACTTTAGTTTGTAGCCCATTAAGTTCACCTGACATGACCGCCGCCCCATCATACGTTTGTGCCACTATTTTGCTGCCAAAATCATACTGAACTACACAGTCTATAATGCGTTCAGCTAACGCCGATGCAGTTCGATCAGCACTCACATCTGAAAATCCTAAAAACCGTTCTTGTATTTCACCATCACTAGTTGCATATCTTAATACGATTGAGAGCTGTGATTGGCTTCGAATGTCAGTCGTCTCATCAACCATTACAGCAACAAAAGGGGCCGAGCCTCTCTTTTGATTTCTGTTAGAATTACGTCACTTATTGAGTCAATAAGGTCGTTTTGCATTCTGTTCGATAAACCTGTAAATACTGTACTGTTCTCAAGGTGAGTGTTGAGTTTATGATCATATTTACTCAAGAAATGAGCTAATTCCACATAATTACCTCGGTCAGTAGAATCCACGCTTTCGTCATGACCCCAGAGGGCAAGTTGTCTCTTTCCTAAATGGCAGATGATATCAATCAAGCGTTTCATTATTTCTCTATTTTCTTTCACATTTCTTTGTGCTGTAATATCATTAGGCGCTTTTGATTGTCAAGTTGACAGTCAATTCGAGATTTCCCGAACATGACAAGTTGCATTGTTGAAATGTGAGTCTGAGAGTTCTCATGTCGTTTCAGTGCTTTATGAAGGTTGTTGATATCACCAAATCCAGTCTTGTTCCATACATTTTTTTCGTTGAGAAACAATAGGCATGGCCAACAAAACAATTTTCCTACGAGGGTCATACTGAAAGTCATGAGCAACAATTTTTTGTAAAGTAACATGCTTTATTATTGACAAACCAAATACACCACCTCAATCTACAGACCTTTCTTTATTTCTCCACATAATCGCCACTTCTTTGTACACATTTCTCCCAGTGTTCTGGAAGTTTGAAAATTCCCCTTCTGTAAAATTCTGTTCCAGCCATCTGAAGACACTGACGCACTGCTTTCTGAATTGCCTCCCTCGTCTCAAAACGTTGTCCACGCAGCTGATCCTTCACAAATCCAAAAAGATGGTAGTCAGAGGGTGCCAGATCAGGGCTATAGGAGGGGTGTGGAAGAACTTCCCACCCCATATTTGCAATTGCTTCCAATATGACCTTTGTGGTCTTTGGTCAATAACCGCGGGACCCAACGAGCACAAACTTCCCTATAGCCCAAGCTTTCAGTCATCTCCTGTACTGCACTGTGCCCTATTTCAAGTTTTCGGGCTGTTGTGTCCACAGTCACACACCTGTCATCTTGAATGATCTTATCCACTCTCTCCTTCTTGCATTCATTTGAGGCTGTTCGAGGACGACCGCTCCGAGGCTCATCTTCGATGCTGGTGTTCCCATCTTTAAAATGTTTCACCCATCTTCGAACACTGCTCGCACCCATGCACACACTTTCACAAGCACGCTGAATTCAGTAAGCAGTGCGTCAGTGCCTTCGAATGGCTGGAACGAAATTTTATAGAAGGGGAATTTTCAAACTCCCAGAATGCTGGGAGAAATGTGTACAAAGAAGTGGCGATTATGTGGAAAAATAAAGAAAGGTCGGCAGATTGAGGTGGTGTATTTGGTTTGTCAATAATAAAGCATGTTACTCTACAAAAAATTGTTGCTCATGACTTTCAGTACGACCTACGTATATTACAGCAACCGGATAACCACTCTGTTTTAGAATACTATTCCAAATTAAATTTCCTCACATAATTTAGTTTGTGCTTTAAGTTCTGGCAAATCACATGTCAGTCGTCCTCTTTCTATAATCATTTTCTTTTCAGAAATGTCCCTGCTATTAAACCCCCGTTTTAAAGGCTTTCGACTCCACAGTTGCAGTCGCGTTGTCTGCCAGCATTCATTTTAGCTGTTCCCTGTGCGTGTAGTCTAATCATGCCCCTGCCCTTGTACCGCAATACCGCACTTGCTTCCCTTAAACACAGATAGCTTCTTTCTGATGCGTCAAAATACGATCAGAGATACAATCTTACACCATATAAATACGCACTTTCAGTATTTTAATAAAACTTAATGTTACCTATAACACCCAACAAGACTGAATTCACACATAAACAGTTAATTTTCACATAACCATCGAAAGAACACAGTCCTTCGCTTCCATATCACAGCCATTAGCCATCAAACCAAAAGTTGCTTCCTTGCCCACTTTGTGTGAGACAAATTATTACAAAGTTTAACGAAGGAAACTTGGTCCGCCCACCAAGCAGGGAAAGGGAGCAGGTGGAGGAGGCATGTGGCCTTGAGCAGGAACACGCGCTAAATAACAAAATTCAAATCCTTATTATTAAATTTCAGTTATTTATATATGACTTTTCTTTTCGTTTCTTAACTACGGAAACAATGCTTCCCTTGAAGAAAGCAGTCTTCTGGGATTTGGCACCGTGTATATGTGGTGTTAATCGACGTTTCGGAGGAACGTATCGCCCCCATCTTCAGGGTAGAAGAAAAAGTATAAGAATTCTGCAAGCGACAACACCGTGAGAAACGGTAAAGCAGACTGCTTTACCGTTTCTCATGGTGCCATGCTCGGATACATCGATGTATTCTTCAGAGACCTCCGTGTAAGTCGTGTACTCATTGTCATCTAGAAGATCCTCGATATCGTTATCCAGTGAAAGTAGTTGATCCAAGGTCTCCCGTAGACGGTCTCTTTAGTAGTCATAATCCTCAAGTGGGGTGCTGGCAGTGAATTCCATTATAAGGGTAGTGAACCTTACCATGGAGCGCCTCCTCTTTAGCCTTCCAAGTTCGCTGTCCACCACATTGACTTTAGAGGGTATCTCCAAGTGCAATCTCTCAAGCTAGCTGACTGTCTGTATGGGATCTGTCGAAAGTCAGAAGTTGGAAATATTAACAGTTCCAAGTTAAAGTCAGCAACTGTGGGCGTGTCTGTTTTCTCCTTTCCCTCGAAATCTTGAACTCTAACTGTATTATATGTATCCATCTCACAGGTTTCAGCACCACGATTCTCAACATGATTAATCTCATGGACAAGTGTGAATTATTTTTGCATCCTACTTTGATCTTGAACAGTGTTTGGCGGTGGGGGACTGGGTCTAATAATGATAATGGAATTAGTGCAAGTGGATGCCACAGGTATTTTCCAAATGACCTTCTCATGTCGTGTATTAAGAGACAGATTGACAGCAAGGAGTAAATGCAGCAGACAGTCTATGTTTACCAAATATAAGGTAGTAAGGGAATTACACAGAGATGGGGTCTTTGTTGCCTTTCTTTCTTTGTGACATCAGCCATTTTGTGTTCAGCCACCTGCATGCATAGATCAGTGAAACATGCATGTTATTGAGAAGGAGAAGTGTTTCGTCTTCTAGTGGTGTTATTGAAATCATGTCAAAATATGGTATGACCGATTGGCAACATGTGAAACATTATGTGCCTGTATGAATATAACTGACTGGTAGTAAAGAAAACAAAACAGACTGGAAACAAATTAATGTGTAGTAATTAGGTCACTCTTTACTTGCTGCCTATGGAATACTGTTCAACATGCATTATCACCAGGAATTATATGAAACTGACAGTAATTCATCAACAGAAAGAGCTTCCATCATTACAAAATGTGGTGCACATGCTCTTATTGAGGGGATATGTTTAACTAGGTGCAGAATATAGTATTATATTTAGTACATATGAGAATGGTGATAGTGAAGAAACTCAACCTTGAGATTTTGAAACTTACACATTTTGAACCCCCCCTAAGTATGAGAAGTGGTTATATGTATGGATGTACACCTTACTAGTGCCAGATGTAATTTATGTTCAGTATTCAAGAGTTTATCTATCCTCAGTCAGTGCCCAGTGAAAATGAACATGCATTACTTATTTCTACCAAATGGAATTCAAAATATAAATTTTGCATGGATGCCTTGTTTTACGTTCCCAAAACAAATTTAATTTGATATCACAAAAATTCCCACATTAAGTGGTTATGCCCCCATCAGAGGTTCATAGAACAGTGCCAGTATTCATTGTAGAGTGAGAATGTACTAATCAGGTGTAGCCTTCATATCATATAGGAATTTCACCTCACATTTTTTTTATATTTTTGCTATATCTGTATGATGTATTAAAGGTATTATAATACTGTATGATTACATAGCTTGTGATCCGAAATTGATGCCAACATTTCCTCAACATCGGAACCTGAAAGCATCCAAAACAGCAACTCAGGCTGGTGCCAGTACTTCAACACAAGAGAACACCAACAACTCTGGAGAGCATTCCTTGCACCTACCTGCCATATCTGACCTGGTAATAATTCCCAAATGGAGTAATGTTTTTTTTAAGTTAATGGAAGGATATACATGTAATTATTAAATAAATTACAAATTTAACAGAAGTATAGCACAAGATCCATGCAGCCATGTTCAGAGGTATCAGGTTTGTCTTTTATTATTCTGGAGTTCTGTAACAGCCTATAGCCCTGGAATGTGCAGCCATTTTAGAATGAAAGTCATGGTGGAAGGTACGAAACTTGGTCCCAGCCAGTGTCATAACCGTGGTTATAAAAGTGAAGCTATCCCTGTAACAGGCCGTGAAGGCCCATAGGGTTGTGAGATGTTGAGGGTCCCACATTATCTAGACATTCGGCTCAAAGATGATGGTAAGGTTGTCAGCCTTACCCACTGGCTGCAATTTCCTCTCCAGGAAAATTATTTGATTAATTCCGGGTACTCAGTTCTGTTGGAGGCTGATTCGACCCCAGGGCCATAGTGTGGCTGGAAGGATTAGGGCAATTGAAAAAAATCCAATGACCTCATTGGTACTTTAACCCAACTTTCCGCCTTGTAGCATAGTGCCTCAACCAACTACACTACTGTGTGCCCCAACCATGGTTATATTAGGAGTAATTACTTTTCATGTAATTAAATTAAATTTGTTGTGTGCAGTAGTGTTTCTTACTACTTACAGTTACTGCAATACCCAACACTGTTTGTCATTCATAGTGTCACATACATCCACTTTTGATATTTTGACAAAACTACTAAAATATTGTCCCTTGTGTGGGAACGGCTCAATAAACAAGCTAGGCAGTGGATACACAACAGAAAACTGCTGGGAGTAGTGTTTTCTGTGTGGTTCATCCTGAGGCTATATAACAAAGACCAGCATGGCAGGGTCAAATACCTCCACTGTAGCCCTGCAAGTCCTAGGAGTCCTGTGGTATAACTAGGCCACCCTGTTCCTGGGGGATATAAATATGGGGACCTGGCCTTCCAGGTGGGTGGAGTCTTGAATCTGAGACAGTGAAATGTGGTCACGAGTTCCTTCAGACTTTGACCTGAGAATGACTGCACTGGCAAGGGCCAGCAGCAATTGTAAACTACAGACCCATCCTCTCATCAAAGAGGATGTTACATAAGGACTATGACCACAGGTGTTCAGCTGTAAAAGAAATTCTGGTTATGAGTCTTTAAAGGACTTGTCGCCAAGACAAACTGATTGGCGGTAAACCACCAGTGATAAAAATCCCTGACCCTGACATTGCCTCCACTTTTACTTTGTAAGGAATGTGTAAGAAGGACACATTTTGCTAATTTTGTACAATATTTTTCACTGTGTCCACAGAGAAGTTCTTTTTTTGTGGTGTCTTTACAAATTTCATACATGTTTAATAAGAATATAACTTATATACTTCCAAACACAATACACAATTCATGTTTTTCTTATGCTTACTGGGGCATGTGGTGGTGTAGTTGGTGGAGGCACTATGCTACAAGCCGGACGGTTGCAGGTTCGAGTTCCAAAGAGGTAGAATTTTCAATTTACCTAATCTTTCCAGCTGCACTATGGCCCTGGGGTCAACTCAGCCTCTAACAGAAATGAGTACCCGGAAACTTCCTGGGGGGTAAAGGGCAGCTGGCCCATAAGGCTGACAACCTTACTGCCATCAGTGAGCCGATTGTCTAGAGAAAATGTGGGAGCCTCAACGTCTCATAAACCTATGGGCCTTGACAGCCTGTTAAAGGGATAGATTTACCTTTACCTTATGCTTAGTAGGCCCACACAGACATGATACAACTCCTTCAAATATCTGCTGGTAAATAGACGTACTTTGTACTTCATCAAAACATCATATAAGTGGTCACGATACCAGTTCTGTGATGAGCCAGTATATTTCCTGAATAATAGAACCAGAATTTATTACAATTTTATTGTGATATACATATATAACAACAATAATCATTTCTTATTCTTCCAGCTTGGAACTCTTGTGAAGAAACGTAGATTGGAGTGATGTGCCGCTCAACATGAGTGTCATCATTAGTGTTGTGAAGTGTGGAGAAAATATATTGATTTACCATTATATAGTTAAATATAATGCCCAACTTTACTTGAAATAAAGGACCATAATTTGCATCTGTGTAATTTATATTACTTAAAATTAATATTTTTCAGCTTTACAACTGAACATTATAATACTTAATGGCACTCTTTAACACACATGTAGGAGTCAGGCAGACCGGAAAACTCCCTGCTGAGTCTCCTTAGAATAGCTGGAATGGCAGAAAGCGACCATGTCGAGAATTGTAAGATGACAAGCGTGACGGGTCGTAAGTTTAAGAAA